ATAAAAAGACAACCTCAGGTAATTTGATAGTGTAGGCTAGACTTTTTTAGGGAGAACCCATAATATGGCTCAGGGAGGGACACTACAACGCAGACAGTCACTCTGCTTTGGGGCTAAACTGCAATCAATGTGTTATTTGGACTTGACCACAAGAGTTCATTCTGATATTTGAACCTCACCACATAGGTTAATTGTAGTGTTTGGAGCATAGGTACCAGGGAAATCTATTTGAGATTGTAAACTTGTTTCTGTCAAAACAAGTGTCCAAAATGCAAATAGAATTTGCATGGATTTCAAATTGTTCAAATTGAAACTGTATAGAGATTAAAATGACACTTCACTTAAATTATGGGGACTAATGGTGCAATTTACCTGATTGGCAATAATGGTTTTGACTACTAGTAACAAGAGGAGAAAAGCATTGAGTTTGTTACTTGCTATGTCAGTCAGATTTGCAATTATATTGATCTTGCTGACAAGCGACCATTTCTATTTGTCACAATACGTTTTTAGTATTGTCATTATTTTATTGTTGTTCTGTTAGGATAGGAGACATGACCAAATATTTTCGTTGTTGTTACCTTGTAGCGGATATCATGGCTTATCTTGCAATCTTCTACTGCACCAAAAGCTATCAAACCGAAACCTAGAGAAGAATCACCAGACACCAAAAAGTACAGAAATAACATGGTCAACACCCTCCTGTTAGTGTCAATACTAGTGACAACAGTGACCTTCGCAGCTGGTTTCACATTGCGGGCGGATATAGCAACTCTTACCCGCACGAAGGCATGGCGACTTTGGTGACAAAACCATCGTTTCAAATGTTCCTGATTTCCAACAACATTGCCCTGTATAGCTCCATTATAGCTGCTGTCAACCTCTTCTGGGCACAATTTGGAGACACCAAGTTGGTAAACAGTGCCCTTAACTTGTCAGGTCTCTTGTTGGGAGTTTCTCTTATAATTATGTCCGTGTCATTCATGACTGGTGTGCATCTTGTGGTAAGCGACGTTTACTGGCTAGCCACCATCGTCTTGGTCATGGGTTTGGTCTCGCTTGTCATCCTCTTGTCCCGCTCCGTTCCACTGTTTCCCTGGATCGTTCAACTGCTGCTTTACCTACCCCCAAGACTGATGCAGCTTATTACAAAGTGGTATGATGGCCACCAGAAGAAGTTCTAAAAATTATGTCACAACAATTCGCAACCAAAAAATGAAATAAATTCCAGAAAGTTTCTAGATAGATAAATGTATCTGTAATAAACATCATAATTGACATTCGAGAACTCTTTTCTCAGATACTATTCATTGCTTAGAAGATAGATGTCAGATAGCACAACGATGTAGAACAAGTAGGCTATTGCTTTGTTTAGACACTATTGAGGGGACTGAGATCCTCTCCATTACATCATTCTAAGGATTGTGAAATAATCATGAGAATTTATCACTATTTTTAATTTAGAAAATTTCATTACAAACTCTTAGATAATGTAATCAAGATACGTCATTACAACTTTGGAATAGAGAGGATCACAAGGGCATCTGCGTGCAAAGTATGTAGAACTAATGAATAACAACAACATAACTACCTTAGTTCAAGAACATACATTTTTTTGTTCATAAGAAATAACACAAGCAATTCCAAGTCCCTCAGTATTTCATCCATTACAAAAGAACAATGAACAATTCCAAGCAAACACAACATACTCAAGTTTTTTTGCAGCCCTTCAAAATCATCACTAGATACTGTCGTTCAATGGACGCTTCCTTGAGACCCAAATACTTGATGTTTGGGAGTAGGGTCACAAGAGCTGTGGCTTCAATTTTCTCAATCTGGGCTCTTTTAATAGCCAACCAACAAAGTTCTTGTAGTGAACGCTGATTAGTGCAATGATTTCTTTTATTTGACAGCTGATTCCAAGTTTTAAGAACTTCAAAATTTTCCAATTAGTGACAAGATTTGGAATCTTGAACATATGTTCATTAGAAAAATCATAAGGAATAACCAAAGTCCTCAAGTTAGGACACCTGGAAAATAAAAAAACACAACAAAAAAATATCAAGCTATAACACATTTTGTGTCCTTCCAATAATAGATAGAGAAATGCTCTTTTCATCACTTAATTTTTAGAGATAATGAACTTATTCAGAACAAGGGTTATTATCTACTTATACAACTACCTCCTACCTTCAGATATGAAGAAATAAAAATAAAAAATGAAAGCATTGTGTCAATTTGGTCTTTAAATTTTCATATAATAACAAATTGACGCTAATAAACACTAATGTGAAACTAAAATTCAAAATTCATCAAATCAAAACTAAATTAAATTAAAAAGGACAATTGGATAATTCATAATTTTTTTTTTCTATTCATCCTAATGTGATGTATAATTTGGTAAATATAAAACAAAAGGAAAATTACAAATATACTACTTGAGATTTGTTAAAATACAAATCACCTCATGTGATTTTGAAAATTACATTGCAGTCCTAAGATTTCTTAATTTATAACAAATGGTGAATATTTTTAATAAATTATTAAGTCAATTAACCAGTTTTTAATGATGTCAGAAATATATTTCCATGAATAATTTAGGTAATTTTATTATTATTTAAGAGCAAGTTAAAAATTTTATTTTTTCAATTAATTTTGTTAAATAAATTTTTTTGATAAAGAGATATTTGTAATTTTCTAAATCAAAAGGAATAATCTATATTTTAAACAAACATTAACAGATGTATTTATAATTTAGCTTAAAACAAAAATATGTCAAAACAACAAGGAATCAAATAAACAAACGTGTTCCAAAAAAAAAAAAAAAAAAAAAAGAACCACAAACGATAAAATTTTAAAGACCACTTGAAGCAAAAATATAGGGGAAAATAATTGATGCTAGTAGAACATACTCATCTGCAGCATAAAACAATGCTTCTACTGAGCAACAGCCTGGAAGCTTTAAATATGTGATTGATCGATCACTACGCTTGATTAGAGATTGAATAATACTATATGTACTAATTAGTATACTAATTGATATATTAACAGTGACATAATTTTAGAAATTTTAGATATTTGTAATTTAAATAATAAGTAGGGTCAGTAATAATGTTATAATATATGTTGATATACTAATTAATATACGAATTGGTACATGTAACGCTCCGTATGTGAAACAGAAGTTGAAAAGTCTGGAAGATTTAACGTTGGTTCAGACGCAGATAACGAAAAGTCAGGATCTCTTCTGCACCTCAATTAGTAATCTGTACAAAATTTTACAAAACGTATGTGATTGAGAGCGCTAAGTATAGAGCTCTAAATGGAGCACTGCATATGTGGCATTGAAAAAAATAAAAATATTAAATAAAAAAAAGAGAGGTCAAAACATCATATTATAAGTGGATTCCACCCATTAAAGTTTTCCTAGAGCTCTGTTTTTAAAGGTCCAAAGCATTTCTATTTTACGAAACATATGTAAACCAGTTTAACTCATGTGTTTACTCCCAAAAAAAATAAATTATCTATATTTAAAAATATTTTTATCATTTTTTTTTTCTATTTTGATACAAATATAGTAAAATTAAAATGTTATAATTATCGAATCAACTTAGTTTTTATACACTAAATGTCTTACAAAATAAACAATTAAAATCATGGAAATAAAACTGATGATGGCTCTGTTTGGTGGAATTTTTTTAAAGTTAAAAGTTAATAATCAGAAAGTATAAGGTAAAAGACCTCTACCCTACCTTTCAAATAATCAATTTTTTTTTCCAACTTATTTAAGCTATCTCTACCTAATCTATACTATATATTAAGCAAAAGGGGGTTTCTAACCCCCAAGGCCTGTGGGAACTCAAATATGCTAATCTTAATTTTCTAATTTTTTTGTTTTTTTTAAAAAAAAAAATTAACCTCAACATTTATTAACTTCTCTCAACCCACAAGACTTTTTGACTTCTCTCATAATTACTGCAGTACCTTTTCCAAAACAAATAATTTGTATATTAAAAAAAATTTAAAACAAATGTAAATATCTATATCTATATCTATCTATTTATTTGTATCTATCTCTAACCCACAAGTTTTGTGGGGGTTCCAATATCCCAATCTAAATTGCTTGATTTTTTTATTTAAAAAAAAAACCTTAGCATTTATTAATTTATCACAACCCCCAAGCATTGCCCTTATAATAACACTTTAATGCATTAAGAATAAGTATAAAAAAAAATTCATTGAAAAGTCCAAACACATATGATTATTATCCCTCATAATAAAACACTTTAATGCATTAAGAACAAGTATAAAAAAAATTCCTTGAAAAGTACAACACATATGATTATTATCAAACTATTAAACTTTAATATAATATAAAAAAATAAGATATTTAATTCATTGAAAAGTCCAAGACATGATTATTATCAAAATATTAAATTTTAATATAATATAAAAAAGAAAAAAAAAAGACATTTAAAAATTACAATTCACATATATATCCCATGATCAGCATTTATTACATTTTTTCAATCCACGTATCTTTTCACATGCTTGCATTTATTGATTTGGTCAAAATTCTCTAATCAGCATTTAAAATCCCCTCATACAGATAATTATAGATACAAGCCGTGTATAGTTACTGCAGTACCCTTTTCAACTTCTCTCATACACTATGGTTAGTGATAAGATTATTAAATTATTTTTATAAAAAATCTTAAAAAACATAATTTATATATTAAAAAGTTTTTAACCCCCAAGACCTGTGGGAGCTTCAATATTCCAATTTGAGTTTTCTAAATTTCTTATTTAAAAAAAAAAACTCAGCATTTATTGATTTTGTCAAAATTCCTTAATTAGCATTTATTAACTTTTCTCAATCCACATGTCTTTCCACATGCCTACATTTTATTGATACAATCCCCTGATCAGCATTTAAAATCCCCTCATACAAATAATTATAGATACAATCCGTATATAATTACTGCAGTACCCTTCAAACTTACTTGTCACAGCTGTTTTGCACTGTCCTTTGACTTTGCGTCATCCCAGAGTAATGTAACCTCCTTCATTGCACACATTTCACCACTTTCCCTATAATGGTGAGGACAAGGCGAGATATAAAAAACTCGATCAGTGAACAAAATTTGTGAGAGAATGCATTAGAAAAACTATACATGCAACAGTAATCAAACACATTGGATGACAGAAAGCACACCACATTATGGCAAGGGAATACAATCTCTTCCATCATCAATCTCTAATTGATCTACATCATCGCCAATTGCCATCTCTTCCTTGAGGCATGGTCATTTTGGCTCATTACACAATTCACATTAATCAAGTTGATTGAGATGCCACCAAAAACATCTAATACTGAAGATGCATCATCAGTGCTTAGAAACTTCATCCCAAATTGTCACAAGGAGTAGTAGTCATATCATGCATGAATAAATTTTATTTATTTATTATTTATTTTGTGTCAAATAGCCATCCAACTCAAAAATTACAAAAGTTGCAGAGAGATAGAAAGAGTTGAAATTCTTAGGATCCGTTTGAATGGATGTGGATTTAAAATGTGTGGATTTAACATTATGTACCACAGACCTGGATCAAAGTGGATCTAATTGGACAAAAATTAAAAGGATCCTCGTAGACTATTTAACTGCATAAAATTTAAAGGTTCTAATATTGTTAATTAACCCAGCATTTTGGTCCGGCCTCAAAGTTGCGGTGCAAAAACTAGCATTTTGGGACCTGCTACAAATATTGTTAACCCAATCTGCAAATAAGAAGCCAAGTAAGAGTGAAACCAACAAAAAGAAACTAGGCCAAAACAAAGAGTAGGCCATTCCTTTTTTCTCTCTTTGTCAATGCTTCAACTACTAATGAAGGTACTTTGATCTTATACAGGTGCATGCTTCAATACAAAAGCAAATGGGGATATGATATGATAGGACATAAATTTAATTATTAAGGCATGGCAGAAGTTGATTGAAATTAGATTTTGAATGATCTGATTTGTGGACTAATAGTTTTGAGCATTCTTTGGTGGTTTCTTCATTTCATTAACTAAATCATCTCTAGATGTTCTTTTGATTCAGTCAAATCAAATTACTTTATCATTAATTGTTTGAGTGCTTGCTCTTGATTATTGTATTATTCTTTATAGGTTGAAGGCCAAACAGAGGAAGTTATTTTTGACCATTTGCATGCAACTGCTTTCCAGCACATGCCTTTAGGCAGAACCATTCTTGGTCCTCCTCAAAGTGTCAGGACAATCACCAAAGATCATTTTCAAAAGTATATATCGACACGCTATACTACATCCAGAATGGTAGGTGGTGTCATAAAGTTATGAGCATTTTGTTTGTTCATAATTTATTGCTAGTTCTATTTAGTTGTTAACATGTTGCCTTCACCTTCATTCATCTATCAATTATTCAATGCCGTCAATTTACTTTCTTGAAGTCCTAAACATTGGGTGTTCTACCTGGAGCTACTATTCTAGGTAATTTTTGCTTCTGGAGTGTGAAGCATGAGGACCTTGTTGAGCAAGTGAAGAAGTTGTTTACCAAATTGTCATCAGATCCAACCACGACTTCTGAATTAGTTGCCAAAGGGCCAGCAATTTTTTCAGAATTTTTTGTGTTAAAATCCTTTGGTTTTTTATTTCTCTTATTTTTTCTTTTTTTCCTCGGATCTGATAGTGGGTGTTTTGGTTCACTTCTTATTTTCTGTATTAAATGGGGGAGTGGTGAGAGAGAGAGGAGGGTAATGTTATTTTGTGGCTTTGTATATAAGGTAGTAATTTTTTGTTTGAGAATTGTGAATTCAATTTTTGGATATGTTATTTTGTGGGAAAATTAATGCTATATTAAATTGAATGAGAAAGTGAATTAATGATATATTTGTTATTTGAATAGGAGTTATTATTTCATATTAGTGTTATTATTGGTGTTCTTTTAGTTCAATCACATAAAATTAGCACAATTTCAAAACCAAAAAAAAAAAGAAAAAAAGAAAGAAAGATAAGACGGCGTTTTTAAAATGCCACTATAACGGTTGGAATTTTTAAAATTAAAAAAACCTATGAAGGCGTTTTAAAAACGTCGCTAAAATCATAGTGATGTCATAGTATTGTTAGGGTAGGACATTTGGCGGCGTTTTCATAAACGTCGCCTATACTAATACAGCGACGTTTTCCAAACGCCATAAACTTATAGCGACGGCCGCATCATCGGCGTTTGATACTAAACGTCACAAAAAAATTAGCGACGTTTTTGGTACTTATAGCGGCGTTTTTTAAACGCCGCTAAAAGCCTTATTTCCAGCAGTGATTATAAGATTTTGTGGTTGTGCATGTTTACATACATGAATAAGAATAAAGATAGAGACCAAAAATTACTTAAAATTTTACCACCTACTCATATGGTGATAAATCCTACCCTCGATTTTGATTACCCCTTTTCCTAGCAAAAGTCAGTCCATAAACAAACAAAAGATGAAGAAATGAAAGGTATCATTTTGTGAGAGACTTGGAAGTCTTTCATCTTTCTTTTACTCTTACAATTTTTTGTTCTCTTTTCCTTTCTTCAATGCTAAGCTCTTTATTTTTTTATTTTTTGCATTAAAACAAATATAAAAGACATTGTTTTAATAATAACTAGCCCTATTACCGATACTATGCACGGAATAATTATAGATATTTATATTTGTTTTAGAATTTTTTTAATATATAAATTATGTTTTTTAAGATTTTTTATAAAAATAATTTAATGATGTTATCACTAACCATAGTGTATGAGAGAAGTTGAAAAAGGTACTGCAGTAACTATGCATGGATTGTATCTATAATTATTTGTATGAGGGGATTTTAAATGCTGATCAAGAGATTTTGACCAAATTAATAAATGCAGTCATGTGGAAAGACATGTGAATTGGAAAAAGTTAATAAATGTTGATCAAGAAATTTTGACCAAATCAATAAATGCTGAGATTTTTTTTTTTAAATCAAAAAATCAGAAAATTTGGATTGGAATATTAGAGTTTTGACAAGGCTTGGGGTTAGAAACCCCCTTTTTCTCAATATATATACTAGCCCATCACCTGTGCTATGCACGGGATAATTGTAGATATTTATATTTGTTTTAGATTTTTTAATATATAAATTATGTTTTTTTAAGATTTTTTATAAAAATAATTCAACAATAATTATCACTAACCATAATATATGGGAGAAATTGAAAAGGGTACTGCAGTAACTATACACAGATTGTATCTATAATTATTTGTATGGGGGAATTTTAAATGCTGATCAGGGAATTTTGACCAAATCAATAAATGTAGGCATGTGGAAAAACATGTGGATTGAAAAAAGTTAACAAATGCTGATTAGGAGATTTTGACCAAATCAATAAATACTGAGTTTTTTTTTTAAAATAAAAATCTTAGAAAATTCAGATTGGGATATTAAAATTCTCACAGGTCTTAGGGGTTAAAAACCCCCTTTTGCTTAATATATAGTACTAGCTTATCACCCGTACTATGCACAGGATAATTATAGATATTTATATTTGTTTTAGATTTTTTTAATATATAAATTATGTTTTTTAATATTTTTTATAAAAATTATTTAACAATCTTATTACTAACCATAGTGTATGAGAAAAGTTGAAAAGGGTACTGCAGTAACTATACACAAATTGTATCTATAATTATTTGTATGAGAAGATTATAAATGTTGATCAGGAAATTTTGACCAAATCAATGAATGCAGGCATGTGGATTGAAAAAAGTTAATATATGCTGATCAGGGGATTTTGACCAAATCAATAAATACTGAGTTTTTTTTTAATAAAAAATTTAGAAAATTCAAATTGGGATATTGAAGCTCCCATAGGCCTTAAGGTTAAAAACCCCATTTTCCTTAAAAACCCCCTTGAGTGTTTATGTTTATCTAATTTCAATCATATTAAAAAATCAAATTATAAACAAAATGAGATAACTTTAATCATACAAATCACATTTTTTTAATGCTTTCTAACTACAATCACATTTTTCTCATAATAAAAAAAATAATTCAAAAAAAGGACCATTAAAATAGTAAATAAAAAGATTATTTAGAAGCATTGAACAAACGACAATTACATTTTTCTTTTTGTGAGTGTTTATGTTTATCTAACTTCAATCATATTAAAAAAATCAAATTATAAACAAAAAGAGATAATTTCAATCATACAAATTATAATTTTTTTAATGCTATCTAACTACAATAATATTTTTCTCATAATAAAAAATAATAATTGAAAAAAGAAGCATTAAAATAGTAAATAAAAATATTATTTATAGCTATTGAACAAACTACAATCACATTTTTCTTTTTGTGAGTTAACTTCAATCATATTAAAAAAATCAAATTATAAACAAAAGGAGATAACTTCAATCATACAAATCACAATTTTTTTTAATGCTATCTAACTACAATGACATTTTTCTCATAATAAAAAAAATACTTGATAAAAATAACCATTAAAATAGTAAATAAAAAAAAGATTATTTAGAACCATTGAACAAACTACAATCACATTTTTCTTTTTGTGAGTGTTTATGTTTATCTAACTTCAATCATATTAAAAAATAAAATTATAAACAAAATGAAATAACTTCAATCATACGAATCACAATTTTTTTTAATGCTATCTAATTATCACCAATAATTAAAAAAATAATCACAAATTAAGTCAATTGATAATTAAAAAACATAATAATTTATTTTTCAAAAAACATAGTGAGTTAAAAAGATCAATTACAATTTTTTTGGGGTCAAAATACAATATAATCATCATCAATAATTGGTAAATTATGTGACCCTAATGAGTACAATTCATTTTGTTTTTCAAAAAACACAGTGAGTTAAAAATCAAATCACAAATTAAGTGAATTGATAGTTAAAAAAACACAATAATTTTTTTTTCAAAAAACACAATGAGTTAAAAAAATCAATTATAATTTTTTTTTTCAAAATACAATCTAATCATTATCAATAATTGGTACTTTAAAAATCAAATCAGAAAAAATCAAATCAAATCAAATCACAAATATTTTTATGCTATCTAGCTACAATCATATTTTTTTTCATAAATAATTATAAAGAAAAACCATTAAAATAGTAAATAAAAGATTAAATCACATTAAAAAAAAGAACTATTGAACAAACTACAATCAGATCACATTTTTCCCATAATAAAAAAAATAAATAAATGAAAAAAAGAACCATTGACTAACTACAATCACATTAAAAAAAAAAAGAACCATTGAATTAACTACAATCGCATTTTTTTCTTTGTGAGTGTTTATATTTATCTAATTTCAATCATATTAAAAATAAAATTAAAATAGTAAATAAAAAGATTATTAAAGTTTAATATTTTGATAATAATCATATGTGTTAGACTTTTCAAGGAATTAAATGTCTTTTTTTTATTATATTATATTAAAGTTTAATATTTTGATAATAATCATATGTGTTAGACTTTTCAAGGAATTAAATGTCTTTTTTTTATTATATTATATTAAAGTTTAATATTTTGATAATAATCATATGTGTTAGACTTTTCAAGGAATTAAATGTCTTTTTTTTATTATATTATATTAAAGTTTAATATTTTGATAATAATCATATGTGTTAGACTTTTCAAGGAATTAAATGTCTTTTTTTTATTATATTATATTAAAGTTTAATATTTTGATAATAATCATATGTGTTAGACTTTTCAAGGAATTAAATGTCTTTTTTTTATTATATTATATTAAAGTTTAATATTTTGATAATAATCATATGTGTTAGACTTTTCAAGGAATTAAATGTCTTTTTTTTATTATATTATATTAAAGTTTAATATTTTGATAATAATCATATGTGTTAGACTTTTCAAGGAATTAAATGTCTTTTTTTTATTATATTATATTAAAGTTTAATATTTTGATAATAATCATATGTGTTAGACTTTTCAAGGAATTAAATGTCTTTTTTTTATTATATTATATTAAAGTTTAATATTTTGATAATAATCATATGTGTTAGACTTTTCAAGGAATTAAATGTCTTTTTTTTATTATATTATATTAAAGTTTAATATTTTGATAATAATCATATGTGTTAGACTTTTCAAGGAATTAAATGTCTTTTTTTTATTATATTATATTAAAGTTTAATATTTTGATAATAATCATATGTGTTAGACTTTTCAAGGAATTAAATGTCTTTTTTTTATTATATTATATTAAAGTTTAATATTTTGATAATAATCATATGTGTTAGACTTTTCAAGGAATTAAATGTCTTTTTTTTATTATATTATATTAAAGTTTAATATTTTGATAATAATCATATGTGTTAGACTTTTCAAGGAATTAAATGTCTTTTTTTTATTATATTATATTAAAGTTTAATATTTTGATAATAATCATATGTGTTAGACTTTTCAAGGAATTAAATGTCTTTTTTTTATTATATTATATTAAAGTTTAATATTTTGATAATAATCATATATGTTAGACTTCTCAAGTAATTAAATGTCTTTTTTTTTTATTATATTCTATTAAAGTTGATATTTTGATAATAATCATATGTGTTAGACTTTTCAAGAAATTAAATATCTTTTTTTTTATTATATTATATTAAAGTTTAATATTTTGATAATAATCATATGTGTTGGACATTTCAAGAAATTTTTTTTGTGCTTGTTCTTAATGCATTAAAGTGTTATTATGAGGGATAGTAATCATGTATGTTGGGACGTTTCAAGGAATTCATATGTGTTGCATTTCAAAGAATTTTTTTTATGCTTGTTCTTAATGCATTAAAGTGTTATTATGAGGGTAATACTTGGGGGTTGGGAGA